TATTTGGGCAAGTCATTTTTATCGCTCCTGGAGTCTATGGTTCCAATCCAGCGGTGGGATATTTGGGCAGGTCATTTTTATTGCTGCTTACCTTTCTCCACCCAGGTGTATACATGGGTACCCGTGAGGGCAGAGAAGATGATTGTGGTTGATGAGTATGGTTGTGAAACAGCTGTGCCGATCTTCTTACTTCCCATGAAGCTGAGATGATTTATAGGAATGCTTTTGGGCCTATTGATCCGGAATAATAATGATTTAAATAATTTTCTTCATCATTACTAAAAACTGTTATTTTATTTGACCTTCCATCTAGGTGCGGCTGTTGATCCCAACTGCCAAGATAATGTCCGCTACGCCAACTGCCGCGTAGTTCTACGTGCTAACTTCTGCCATCGGAAGCCCTACGACACCTACTGCTGCGCCACGTGCAAGGACAGCCAGGTCAGAGGTCGACGCCGACGACGATAAATGTGCCTTAGGAGTAGTCTGAATCCATCTCGTCACGGATTGCATTCAGCTACTTGAGTGAAAACTGCCTGTGTAATTCTACGGGAATCTGGAAGACATGCTCGTGTTTTCGGAAATTTTAGAACCTTCTCTGACTTTTTAAAACATGATTTTTATGAGTAGGCCTATCTTTTTTATGTCTTGATAGTGACCATGTCACAAGCCCTGTGCAGTGTTTTTATACTAATATATACTTTTTGAGGCATGTTAATTCAAGTAATATGTTGACCATGTATCTTGTCTTTGAGAGGAACAGGCTGATTTGGGCGACACTTTTTTATTTGATCTGCAAAGCTTGTAAATGATTTCCTAAGGTTGTATCAATCACGGTTGTATCAAACTCTTCGAGTATGTTGAGAAAACAGCGAAGAAAAACAAACTGAAATTCGGCATTTCTTAAGAAATGTACCTCAGTTCTCAAATGGTGCTGCTTAACTTTTTAAAATGAGATTTCAGAGAGTTGCAATTTATGTGTTCCTTAGTACCTTTATCGTACAGTACATGTACAGTCACTTTTACCCCTTGAAAAACCCAGACGTAAGGTTGACAAGACAGCGTTTATATCTAGATTTAAACACGTCTATCAAATGTTGCTTCATCATAGTTTTTCATGCCACAGAAATTTTGTTTTTGCCCACAAAAATACTTCCAAGTGCGGACAGGTGGGAAGTGCGTAGAGGTTGAATTGTAGGACATGTTCTTGCACTGTGCATTGATGCACCCCTTTAGCTTTAACTGGCCACAGGTCTTTCTCTGAACAGGGTAATACCACGTTTATGTTATTTGCAGTCCCTTTCCTCATTTCTATTCGGCCCAAAGTTACTGTTCCACACTGCCCCCCTTTTAATGTCTTTCTCAAATGCTTTTTTTTAACTGTGACATTTCATATGGTTTTGTCAATCTCTTCTTTCATTGTCCATTTTGAGCAGTTTGAAGCTAGTAGTATTTTGTCCCATTTCCAGATATTTGTCTTTCATTCCAAGCAGCATTTTTGGTTCACACTTCATTAGTTTACTGCTCTTTTTTTGAATTTCTGATGAGAAAAAGTATTGTAGTATTTTATGAAAACTGAGTCTTTTTCAGTATTAAATTGGCCTTTATTAGCTGACTTTGTGATCATCCTAAGTCTGCTTCAGTAAGATTGATCCAATGTACATTGTTGTTTTTTTTTCTAATGGGCAACCATCTGGTGCTCTAACCTGCCACCGTGGGATGTTCATTCATGTGAGAAAATAGATGTCATTATAGTGGTTTTCAATGATACAGACATGGCTTCACACTTGCAGGGTACTAGTACTGTAGGTGTTGCTGCAAGGTATAGTGAATCCGGCGACCACGGTGTTGTCCTGTGCAGTGGCCCCCACCAATGGTGGTATTCATTGTGATATCTGTTGTATGGAGTCACTGTTCCACTATCGCCCTATACAAAACCCAGATCAGTGCTGTCTGCCATGAAAAGGGGCCGTCAGGCATGTTCAGTGAGACAAGTTGTCTTCGTGGTCGGGTATCCCGTCTTATTTTAGTCAAGATGCAACAAAATAGATACGCTGAAATTTCAACCCAGCCTCCAGTAAGACTGCTTGCACCAGTACACAGAATGTGTCACAGTTCAGTTTTGCTGTCTCTGAAGATATTGCTGTCTGACTTTCACAATGACTAGTTCTTGTTTTGCTGTAGACCCGTTTGACAAAATGAGTTTTATGTATGCCCAATTAAAACACCTAAGGCCCATTAGTCCATTTTGAGGAAACATGTTTACTATCTTAAATTCAAAAGCAGTCTTGGGATTCTTTGTGATCGCACGGTATTTATTAGCCTCTGTTTCATAATATAAATAGGAATTATTTTTTAAACAATTTTATTTGCCTGTGTGTACACAGCTGTTACGAAAGGCACAGAATTACACAGACTTTGTACGTGTAGATCGTGTACATCATTAAAAGACGTTGCGATGTTATACTCGTAGTTAATGACACTGGTTATATTTAGCACATTTCAGTAGTTACCAGGTAGGACACCTGTACGTTTGTTTGACTGTAATCTGTACGAGGACGATTGAAACTTAACTTATTTTTTACAGTAAATGTATTCTGCTGCAAATGGTGTGAGTTATGTTTACTGCCAATGATTGCAATGGTGCTAGTTTGCTTTTCTGTAAGCTGAAAGTAGAAGTCGCTACCTCCCGGTGTATTGATACCAGGATTGCGATTGTAGATAAGAAAAAGAAAGAGCATTTGAACTGAAAGGCATTTGAAGTATGTCACAGTGCAAGGCCGGTTTTTATGCATTCATTCGGGGAAACAAAGCATCAGGGAAATTCCAACTGTACATTTATCGCCAATAAAACACAGCCACTGATATTTTAAAATCACATCTTTTTGCCCATGTCTGTACAGTACATTCTTTTAGTGCGATTGAATGGTTCTCAATTTCATATTCACATTTTCACAGCGATTCCAAAGCGCGGCGCTTTTCAGTGAAATAGCGAACGCCGAAGGTGCTCGGGTACGATGTAGAAAAAGCAACTTGCTAGGAAAGTTTCCTAGGTAGTTGCTTAGTTGCTTGGGGCGGTGTCCTATAATGTAACATAAAAACCAGCTGGACTATCATGCACATTCTCTTTTGAACGCCGCAATTTACAAGAAAATCTCTCTCGTTGATCATACTACGAGGGGTTCCCACGCTACTTCTCGCCCATACACCTAGGGGCCCCATCTGCAAGTTGTTCATGCATCTTCAATTCACTCGCGAAATAACCTATTTTAGCATGTTCAGTCAGTCTTTAAACCGATCGCCACTTCAAGATGCAACATTCGATGTGAACAAATGCTGCCGGCGCACGATTGCAAAAACGTGGACCGTGCCACGTGGGCCAGAATGTTGATAAGCAGCTCCCGGCTTTTTCGGCTTGGTAGAATCATGACGACAATCTGTTGTGTTTTTTTCTTCGGAAAAGCTCAACAGGTGGGAACTGGCCACGTGTCATTTTGAATATCGCGTGACCAAACCGCACCAGCGAATTCCAGATAATGTCGGCATTTACGTCACATCTCCCATTTTATCAATGGAAAAGCCGGATAATTTTAGCTTAGCAAACAATTGCCCCCGCTTGATGACATCCGGCTTTGATTCCCAACCAGCCGTTTGTAGCTATCTATAGCTCCCCTGGGACCAATAGCATATGGGGTGTTTTAACGAGCCTGTTGCCATTAAAAAATAACAGCAGTAATAATTAAAATGTTTTTCTATCGAGAGATGTTGGTAACTGTGAAAATAACCCCTTGCCTTAGATTAATTATTTCTCCTTGGTTAAAGAGTTTACAATTGCAACGATTTCGTGCCTCGTTTTCGAAGAGCAGCCTCCATTTTGCTCGGTCCAATCAGACAGGAAGTGTTTTATTCCTCCAAGTTTAACATTAACTTCATTTTGGCAATAAACGCCAATTATTGTGGTACTTTCCGAGAAACGACAACATCACCACGATTTACATGTCTGCTTGATGTTACCATTTACAAACAACATTTTCATGCACAGTGTTACGCACGCTAATGAAAGTAGCTCAGATAGCACTCGAGCAATCAAAGACAGAAAATTCTCTTCGTCAAATTGAACAGGATGTGAAATGAGTATGCATGATAGTCAAGTATATTCGAGTGTTCCCAAAATGGAACGTCATAAGATGGTGTACGCGTGATTGGAGCAGTGCTGTGGTTGTTTTCCAACATTAGTGTAGACTGTAAACAGCTGGCAGCTCTGCATTCTATGCATTAGAGCCACATTGGTAATGTACGTGCACACTGACGGTGTCTGTTTGCCATCTGACAGCACGATGCGGAAATCCAAAAGGTATTTATCGCCCACACCATCCGTTGACCGTGAACAATCTTACGGCGCTGTTCGTCAGCAGTAGATAGCAACCTGTACTGATGAATGCGCCGTGGCCGCTGTTTGTCCTCTCGCCGTTTGCGTCATTGCTAGCTGTGTGACGTCAGCTCGATGACATTAGTTATTCATTAGACAGACTCTCGTACACAGTACACATTGCGCATGATACATGTCAGCTCCGCCGCTGCAAAGGTAACTGCGCTGGCCAAAATAAGTGTGCTCATTTCTCGAGAAAAGGGAGCTTGTATTGATCGAGAGAAGTTGAAATACCGATTGAAGAACTGACTGGATACGCGGATTTCATGTAGATGGCTCCATGTCGGCGGGATATTCCGACATAGTGCACGTGACGGACATGTAGTATGGTGGTATGCTGCCTCTGACTCCACAGCCCTCGCCTTGTGCATGTCTTGAAGTGCCTTCCTCGGGTGACCATGGCCGAGACAAGGAGGATCGAGATGCCCTCGCCCAGGAGGGCTCACTTGCCACCGATGGGTGCTCGGACCAAGGCCACACGAACACCGATCACGTAGTAGATGTGGCGTCCGAGTGTATGGGCGATGCCACGACGATAGGTGATGCTGCCCACCACTGCGACCATCTCGAGTCTCGGGGCACACGCATATCCGCGCCAGGTCGTTTCGAGGGAGACCGCGACCCGTGTTACTTCGAGAGACTACCTGTGGAAGTCACCACCAGGATCTTTGGCTTTCTGCGCCCCATCGAAGACGCTCTCCCCCTGCTGGCCAGGGTCAATCGGAGGTGGAGGAAAATTCTCCTGAATACGCCAAAACTGTGGCGGGAGATCCATGTCAGGTCTGACGATTACTCACCGTTGCATTACACCGTCTTGTCAATCATCTTCCGCGTGTACGGGGCCCACGTGCGCGAACTCACGTGGCAGACGGGGTCCCGCGTCTACGAGTCTCTCTTCTGTCTCATACCCAAGCTGACATCCCTTACTGTCCTCCGATTGCCCATCTTGTGGAACAAATGGGTCGTGGACCAGCTAGCACCGCTCACCAGACTCGAGGAGCTGCAGATCAACGGCGGCTTCGGGCTGACCGACTCCGACCTAGCCCGCATCGCTGGCAACTTCCCTGGTCTGAGGCGGGTGGTCCTCAGTTCCTGCTGGGCGGTCACGGCCAAGGGGGTAGAGGGCTTCCTGGAGTCGTTGCCGCAGCTGGCAGAGTGCAAGCTCAAGATCAACGAGGGGCTGCCGCTGTGCGACATGAGGAGCGACTTCGCAATGCTCCAGGGCAGCATGGTGACGCGGAGTGTCGGCAACGCCTCGCGGGCCAGCACCATCACCGTCCTTAGCTTGAACTTCGTGCCGGTGGAGATGGAGGAAGTCTGGGGGGTGGTCAACTGCTTGCCTCGGCTCAAGAAGCTTTCGATCAGCAACTGTGAGGTAATTTGAATAATTTCATGTTGAATCGTTAAATTAATTGTTGTTTGACACTGATTTCGAGGGATGGGCTGGGCCCCCTCCCCCAGAGAGCACCAAGATAATACTTTCAAGACGGTTTAAAAGATCTTTCGCGAACATATTCAACATCTTCCTTTATTCAGATCCTTCGTTTAACAAAATGGCATTGATTATCAACAACGTTTCATTTTAATGTTACAATCTTCTAAGCATACCCACAAGTTTGATTTAAATCATATTTGAAAATTCACTCTTCGACAACATAAACAAAACATAGCTATAGAACACATGCTTATAAGTACTGTACATGTACGTTTACCTGTTCGCACATTGCGTAACTTTGAATTTCCCTCCGAATGGTCAATAGAGGGCAGTACATTGTTCTATTAATTATTCTGAATACTGGCCCCAAAGTTCGCCCCGCGTTTGGACATGTGAATGTATTATTTTGTGACGCAGTCACCAAATGTTATTTTTTCAGCGAGTCCAAAATTTAGTTGCATCTGAAAAGTCATTTCCGATATTTTTTTGAGATGCTTGAATTGAAAATTAGTGGAAATTGTGTAAGGTGTGAAACAATTTCTCTGATATCGAGTTAGAATAAATTCATGGACAATAATTCTGAAACATCGAGTAAAGCTGAGATGAATATGCACACCCCGAATATTCACTCGATTGCGTAATATTTTTTTTAACTAGTTAAGATCGTAGTTTGCGTTAGCAAGTGCTTGAAAAATGCACATTCCGCCCACATTCCACACTTAGTGTATGTATATCTCCGTACCGTGAATCCTATCCCATCTCAGGTTTGAAACTGATTTTCCAACAGCCTCAGGGCGTCTAATCATTTTAAATGAGCATTTTCCTTCGGCTTTTCTTTTTCTTTTTTCATTCCTTTCTAAACGAAACGACCCATTTTCAGTCTAGCGCGCAAGGACCTCAGTGGCGCTTTTAGCTTTCTTACTTATCATTATTAATCCACTCTTTTTTTCCGGAAGCCACGACATACCCGTCTCCCAACTCATCACTGGCCGCAGCGCAGAAACACTGGATGGCAGCGGCCAATGGCCCAACAAGGCCAGGGCCCGGCACGATCTTAGCCGCACCGTCACAACAAGATACTCTGTAGTTTGTTTTTATTATTTTGTGGACACGATCTTTTATTAGTGCTTCACGATGCGAGAGAGCTTCCCCGCTTGCTCCGCCACTAGCACTTGGCGGCATCACGGCACTGTGACTGCGCTACATGCAAACGTGTCAGAATGCAGCGTAGCTGTCGTGGGGGCTGAGGTTTATTCCGTCAAGTTCTCTGGGTTGCCATGGGAACCCTCAAATCTACATTGTAATGAAATTGTTCTCGCCGTCTGCCTCGCGCCGCTACAGAAATGCTAATAAGAGCGAACCAGCTGACAGTCTAGAAATTAAAAAAAAAAATCAAATAAGCTGCAGTGGACGTACAGATATACACCGCGGGGGGGGGGGCTGTAATAATTTAGAACGATGCTGGGCAAAGTTTGTCTCCTTAGTTACTGCAGCTGGGTTGTGGGGGGAAATCAGGTGCGGATCTAGATGGAGAGGTTTTGGGGTCAAAGCTGCCCTGACACCAAAATAAAAAAATAAATGAAATAATCATACTAATCAATGAAATGATGACATCTTGGAAGAAATATCGTTTTGTCACCGTGTCAGTAACAATGTAATGCATTACTTTAATATGTGTCCGCCTGTCCGCAACCATTGGACATTACAAAATTTGACCGGCCTGACTCAACCCCCCCGGAAAACTTCCTTGACCTGCCCCTGGAAATTGCCAGAATGTTGTCGGATGGATTGAGGAAGTCATTGCCTGTTTTGAATGCTTTAACCTAAAGCAACAAATTAAGCAAAAAAGGACAAGGAGATATTTTTCTACTTTGAGTGCACACGAAGCTTTCCTCTTACTACCTTGTACAAGTCCATCGTTAAACACCCAAAGGGTCTCTTTTTCGACTCCGTTGTTTTGTTTTAACGGGACTATGCTATACAATTTATTTTACAACAGCCCTTGAAACTACACCTTTCTGTTTCAATTAACATTATTTCTATTATTTTGCTTTGCTTTTTTATCTTAATTTTTTGAGTCTTTCTCTTTTTATGCTAATTCGAATTTCTATATATTCATGAGCAATTCTGTGATGTCCCAAGTCCGGCACTAAACCTCGACGTTGCATTGATTTGTGCACAAAAACGGCTGGAATGGTGTTTTTCATATTTTGCTACTGTAAATTTCTATTTCTTTGACAATTTATTGTTATGTAAGTATATGACAATAAACCAGCGAGCAACCTTTTCGCAGCAGTCGGAGGAGCACATTTGGGGCTCATACATTTGAATATGAGAACATTGTAAACTAAAGGAGTCTGCCCTGAGTTACATCACAGCAACAGCGCTCTCACTTGTCTGGAAAAGCTTGGACAATTTTACCGTTTAAAAAGGTGCATTTTGTAATACACGTAGCCCCAACAGGATTTCAAACAGTTTTCGTACATCGAAGAAGAGTATAGCCTAAAGACGCACCAAATTGTAGTCTAAGAAAAATTCATTGCATGGATCCTTTAAGTTTTAATTTCTTTTCTCCTCGGGACTTATTTCGCTGCGCTTTAACATCCTGTTAGCACGGAGGAAGACAACCTTGTCACTCCGGAAGAGATGAAATTAATATTCCGTCCAGCTCCCCCCCCCCCAAAAAAGCCCTTCATTCCCGCGCCTACTCATTCTCCAACAGTCCATGGAGGAGCCGACTGCATGCATGCGCACCCATTGCCGTTCAAGGTACCGCTATACCCATGAGAGGAGCGGACGGGGCGCCCCCGCACTGTCCGCCCACCTCGCGGCCGAGAGAGTGTCTGATTTCTCGCGCCTACTAACACTTTCTTGTTGAGATGCCAGTTTCTGAGTCCTCCAAAAACACAGGCCGGTTTGTCATATTCCTCCGGAGAAAACAGAATAATACATGCCGCATAGAACCGTTTGGTATTTGTACCGAGACTGCTTGACATTTCAATGTGAATCAGGCTCTTTCGTTCCATCTGCACGTGTGTGACTACAGATGGAGAAAAAAAATGCTATTCCACCGTGTCTGCTAGACTCAAAGGTCACTTTTGCATTTTTGTTTCCAGAATAATCCAAATTTCAGGGTTGAGAATTGACAAGGGTACACGTATCGAATTAATGTCTCTGTTTCTACAACCAGGCGTGTTTCTTAATATAGACGTGTTCCCAACCCACCAACAAAAATGCATCGCCAATTCATTTGAAATGCTGCGAAACGAGTATTGATTTTGCATGAAGAAAATTTTTCTTTAAATTAAGAAATCGTTCTTGGCGGATACATTTAACGGGAAATGCATCTTTATTTATGCGTGCATATCCAAATATTGTGGGTCTGTCAATTTCTTTCCCTGCATGGCACGAACTAAAACAATCTAATTACTGCGCGTGTGAAGAAAGACCGTCCATTTACTTAGTTTTTAAACACTTAAAAATGCGGAGCTTTCGAGTGACCTTTAAACGAGGATGCATCGCGAGAACTCCACAGCGATGTATACTGGGTGTGTTTGGGTTATGCAGCAATGCAATGTACACAAGCTCATCCTACGCATCATCCTTCACCCAACCAACCGTTTATGCTTTTTACGTCCCTTTTTGTCACCTTTCTGTCATCTCAGTCAACGCAGTAAGATGAATTTATCACTGCCTCTGACTGAGCAAAATGGTGCGAAATAATGCAGTGCTCATTATCTTTGGCGGTGAGGAGTTGAATCAGGCGGTGATGGGTGGGGCGGGACCGCATGAGGTGGGGGTGCGACTGTCTCATCACCTCATCCGTTTTCATTTCTCTCCTAGTAGACATCGCATCTTTTGACGTGCTGGCCAAAGCATGCAAACAGCAACAACTCGCGCCATCTTTGATTTAAGGAAACCCATTTTCCCTTTCATGGCAACAGCTATACACTACAAATAATGATAAGAAATACAAACCTACGAAACAAAAGCTCTGTAATGAATTCGCGTGGTGTGATTCTATATATTCTGTTCACCTAACAGCGCATTCAGCGCCAATCACAGGATGATTATGAGCGGCAATGAAGAAATGTTGAGTTTCAGATGAAAAAAGGAAAACCCTAGATAGATATCCCAGGGAAAACCCAGGCAATCATCGAGGGACCCAACACCCAATTCACATTTGACAACTTAGGTGGGACGTGCTACGTATTCCGACATGATTCTCCAGTGGTACATGTATTAAACTGTTCGTCCAATTATGATGAAGGTAACAGTTGTAGTGTGAATTTTTTTCTTCTTTTTTTTTCCACAGGGACTGCAGGGTGTTCGTCTGCATTCCTCATCACTGCAGAAGATCTACCTTCTCAACCTGTGGTCTGTTCACTTCGTTAGTATCAACGCGCCTTCGCTTCGGTTTCTACGCGTGGACACCGGTCTCGAATCCAACGAGCATCTGGAAGTGTTCGCAGGGAAGCTACGGACCTTACAGGTGGACGGTAGTGGTGTCTTGCGGACGTTGACCGTCCGCGGCGGCAGGCTGACCACCGCCGAGATCCGTCGCTGCCCGGTCTTGGATCCCCGCAGCTTTCGCAGTTTCTTCCTGGAGAATCCCTTCCTGACGGATCTCCTGCTGGGGTGCGTATGCGGTGACGAGCTGGTCTTGGATCATATCGGCTGCCCTAGCCTGGAGCGGGTCATCCTGCAGGGAGACTTCGCCTGTGGCGGGATGCTCCTCAGATGTCCCAACCTGCGGGTCATCCAGACGGCAGAGGAGATCGAACTGCCGGCCCTACGGCAGGTCATCATCGTGGCAGATCACCTGCTCAAAGTGTCGCTGGTGGGTCTCCCTGGCCTCAGTAATGTCATGGTGCAATGTGACAGCTTAGAACACGTCGAAGCCAACATGTGCAGCGATGATGCCCTGTGTTTGCGCTCCTTCGTCGTCCATGCTACCCGTTATGTTGGCTTCATGCGTCTCTTTGACTGTTCCATTGGTGCTCTGATGCTGAGCACACCGTGTGCTCACACTGTTGTCCTCTACCGATGCCAGATCTCGGACTACTCGCTCAAGATGGCTCTGAGTGCGTGCCCCAACATCGTCCACTTGAGCGTGGAAAAGTGCGACACGCTGACTAGCGTCTGCGTACCGTCTCACGCCTCCTCTCTCAAGTACCTGAACCTGTTCGGTTGCAAGAGCCTGGCAAGAGTCACCATAGACTGTCACGGCGTGGCAGCTGTGAATTTGGGACAATGCCTCAAGACGCGGCTCTTCGTCAGGGGTCTGGAGTATGACCTAGCCATGCATCCACTCAAGTATCCGAAGATCGTCTTGCCTCATCAGTCACTAAGATGGAGCCACGACAGAGTTCCACAGCTTTTCACCATCGCGATGTGAAACACCGAACAGCAGCCGTAGGCTAGAAATCCAGACGAGTATTCACCGCCGGTCAAAAATGCCTTGCTTGCGCCTGAGTCGTGATTGTATCAAGCAAATTTCCTCGTGGCCTATATTCACCGCATAGTTAACATCACCGGACATAAAAAAAACTGTTGGCGTTAAAAGCGCCTTAAGAGAATGATTCTCTTATTGTAATTTGGTAATCACTACATGTGTATTGGCCCAATGTCATCTCAATATTAAACTTCGATAAGCTCACTAAAGTATTTCGCCCGATAATCGCTTGGATCTACCAAACAGTTGGCAGCCGCTACTGGACGCATTATGCTGGCATTAAGTACAGACGGAAAGCATATCAGTGGAAGAGGTTGGAAGTCTGAAACATTTATGGGCCTGTTTTGAATAACCTAACAACTCTATCCGGAATTTACGACTAGTGATGCAGAAACTATAATTGAGAGAAAAAAGGTATAGATTGGAAGGCAATTTTAATGAGTGGGGTATACCGTGCTTTAAAGACAAGGTTTGAGGAAGAGGGATTGCAAAAGGGTTTCGACAGGAAGTGGGTGGGGATGGTAGACAAATTGGACTTTACAGCAACAGATTTCATTTGAACATTGAGCTTAAAATTCACTCAAAGTCAAATGAGTTGGGTTATGATTAAAATGCCAAGATGTAGGTTTAACCCATTTTAATGGGAGGTGGTAGATAAATACGCAGAATGAACTGTGAATCCGACATTTTAGGAAAAGTCGGATTTTGACTTGAAGATTTTTGTCCTTTTATTTCAATTTCAATGTCATTTACTTTCCCCAGATTTTTCGGAAGGTGTAGTGCACCCACTGACCCTCGCCTGATCCTCCAAATTCAGGAAAGGAGGCGAGTTTACCACAAGAAAAATCTTAGTTATAACTTAGATGTCAATTCACGGGCAAGAGGGTGAATAATGACGGAAGTCAATTAGAATTGGTTGTGACTTGAACTAAAATACCGCACAACTTGCGACGTGTTGAAAAAAAATCAGTTTGACAATTGCTTTAAATGATTTATAGACAATCAGGTCTTATGGGGCACAGTATACTCAAGCAAAATGAATAAATATGGAATATTTACCAGTGCCATGTAAACCATAATTCGGTTACGGACGAAACGTCTCATCCCATCTGTCATGTCAGAGAGTTATTGTTATACCACTGCATGAATGTGAAACATTCATTTATTTTTTATATGCAACGTCTCAAAAAAAATCCTGAAAAAAGATCAGTACATTTCGATGCCTGAGTAAATCCCGAAAATAATATTTCCGCTTGAATAAATCCCTCGAGTTCACAAATGTCTGTATCAGGTAAAAGAAGAAATGGTGTTTGGCGTTTATCAAGACCCAAGTGGACTGATGGAACTTCAATCCATCCATTTACCTGCGGAATAGAACATTCCATGTTACAATGCAACCGCATCATGATTGGGAACGAATGGTTCGATGTCACATGATCAACAATTCACCAGCTAGATGACTGGGATTTATTGAGGCGATGTATTAACACTATTGAGGCAGTGTGAAACTTGTGTTATGCAAGTCCATAGGTCTATAATTATGGAGAAAAGAGCCACTTTAAGGGGCGTTATACAAATGCGGGGGGGATCAATGTTGTATGAGCAAAATTCGTTGCTTTTGTGGACACAAGTTATCATGCTGCCAGTCGTCAATATCAGCCCCAAAAGTGTTGTAAAATATTCACTTTGCACAATATCCGGGTTCGAGGACAGAAGGCTATAGAACAAGACATTTCCCGCCCCTCCCCCTCGAAAGAGGGGGGGGGGATGCTCTGACAAACATTTCTCCACCGCTCAGTTCGTGTTTACGGGCCCGGCTACTCCTCAACTCAAACAGCGCGTTATAACATTATTGTTGTGTCTGAAAAAAACATTCATCGGATTCAGTGAGCTGTAAACGGGATGGACAAAAATAAATGTAGTGCTGACGCATGAAGGTGTTTTGTGAACGATTGCCGTGTCACTCTTGCGTATTTCTATCTCGCCTCAGGCATCACACAGTCTAAAGTAAACAGCTGACATTTTAGTTTTTTGTGGCACAGATTTGCATGAATGGTAACTGATATACTTCATGTGCTTGGAGCATGGTTGTTCCCCCCAGGGACAGTTGTTACTGCTAGACAGGCGTATGGCTTCTCTTCGGTGATAATTTTGATAAAGGGACTCATTGCGGGCCTTGTGCGCCAACTTTCCCTCCACTTGTGACTTTTTCCCCTGTTTGATGTGGGCATCAGATACGCTCTAGAACATAGATCTGATTGGCCAAATTTTCCATGCTGCGTCCGATCTGCCCCACATACTATCTTCTCACTGTCATTGATCTCCTCTATTATGTAGACGTTGCATGCTTGCTCAGAAAGATCCGATTTTCTGTATGTTGATCTTACCATTATTACCAGAACGAGGTAGAAGTGTGGGATATTTGTTCTGAGTTCTCACGGAGTCTTGACACTCAGACCTCCCCGAGGAGTTTTGTGGAGTTGCTTTGAGATTGTTCTGAGAAACGTTGTTAACGCTTTCGCGAAGTCCCATCTCGCGCAGGAGAGAACAGTTGGCTTTTGTGTCCTCTTTTCTCTTTCTTTTCCTCGGCTTCAAGGATCTCTTGAATTCAAGTTGGCACAATGCTTTTGACATAACTGGGGTATTCCTTGCACGTACGTTATACGTGCAAGCCTTTCCATTTCTTTGACAAAGATTCTGTGTTAACCACGTGGTGCAACTCTTGAGGCCTGTCCCCCTCCCATTTATACGTGCACCTTACATAGATTTGGAAAAGAAATGAAAAAAAAGAAGAGTTCTTTAAGATGACCCAAATGATCTAGTATCTCCTTTCCAGAGAATGAATCCCCTTCAACTGTCCCCTAGCTTGCGGGCCTGAAAACTTGACCCTTGTTCCATGCTGTGGCTGGCCATGAGCGGTCTGTGGCAGCATTATCTAGATCTACAGGTGGGTGCGCGACAGCATGAAACACCACAGAGTGTGGGTTGCAATCCGCCTCGAGCAGAAGCACCTCATCGGTTGAAAAGGGCCGCGTTCGTCGGGAGGGTTAATTTTGTTGGTAGACTGATGCGACTGCAACGCTTGCGATTCATAATTGTTCGTGAACCAGCGATGCGCAGTTCCTACCAAAGGAGCCTCATTTGCTGATGAAATAGCGCCCTCTGTTGGTCCAGCTCGAGGACCAGATAATGGACAGTAAATGACGTGTAAATTCCTTGAGGTATCGAAGGATACTAGGTTAAACATTGGGGTCCATGGAGAGACTTTGAACTTACAGGCTTTTAACAAGGCCTGTATGGCAAAGCAGTATTTCGACTCCTCACTAGCGCATAAACTTATCTTACAGTGTTCCCTAAGCTTTCATCACTCATCTTTGAATAGAAACTCAAATGATGTAAATAAATGCAACGATCGCAGTATACAAGTACATGTACAGTGGAACACTATTATAACAAGGTCCTCCGGACTGTATAAATTACCTTGTTACAATAGTTACCTTGTATTACCAGTCATGGAAACAAAGAAAAATAAAGACTTGGGACCTAAAACTATCCTCGCTATAAACGTGACTTTGAACCAACAGTGCTCTTCTTATGTGTGTTCGACTTGTAATATGACAAACTACGTTTTATGACTGATGGCAACTTATTGAGCTGGATTATAATTAATTATAAAAAGCCCTGTATTTGGCTACTTGTTGGTGATTTGAAAATATTCAGGCACGGACCCAAGGGGCAAATTTGACGAAAAAAGGGACAGAGTAAGGGGAAGGGACGGGACGTAACACAGTTAAATGCCCATGTGTGCACTGTGCTAAAATCTGCACCTGATATACATGTGCATGCCGTTTTTCAAATGTAAAAACGTCGCGTCGTTTTCAATGGGGACGATCCGAACATTCAAGTTTGTAACAAGAGTGTTCGTGTCTCAATGATTTGGCTACGACTAGATATAACATGCAACGCACGGATACGCTAGCCAGCCGCTTCATAAAGTTCCCATATATACATGTATCTTCTAGTCGTAGCCTAAATAATTGGACACAGCCTGTGTGAGGCGGAGGAGCACGTCTGCTCGAAGTGCGCCCTCATCTTACGCAAGTTGAAATCAAGATGGCGTCTTTGTTGAGATCGTCGAAGATTCTTCGAGTCGTTCCTGGTTTACTGCGAACCCTACAGGGACAATCGAGCGCCCTGGGATCGTCAGCAGGGCGACAGACGTTACGAAGCTCAGTTTCATCTGTTCGAGAAAATGTTAGGTATGGATCTTAACCAGTGAAATTTCTCCGCAAGTTTTGCAGTGTCGCACACCGTGGCACACGTGTTTCCTGTGCGTGTGCACCGTTCATGATGATTACCGCTGCAGACTACATGCACTGCAGCGGTTCTGCCAGTGCGATGCGCGTGTGCGTGCGTTGCATGGCCGGTGCCGTTCCGCTTGGTGGCACCACGTTACCTTCGCTCTTTTGATCAGGGGAGGACCTTCCAGGCCCGAGCCCCATAGGCTGACCAGTGTCCAGCCCCCCTACAGCCACATGCCTAGCTCTACCATGTCTACTGTGTCTACTAAGTGGAGCGTTAGAATTCCTTTTTTTCAATTTTGGACGGGATTGTCATACTAATGCTCCATGCCTGTACATGATATAGTAAGGTTGAAACGGTTCTCAAAAATTCCAAAGACTCACCAAAAATACCTCTATTGCCACCTACTGGCTTCCGTAACGTACATGTAAATGTAAACGTCAAACGGTTGGGGCTTCAATGATATTTCTAACTTCAAGATCTGACCGTTTTCACTCGACACACGCACAGGACTTGAACTTTTCGCCGCCTGTACCTTTCAATTGGCGTAGTGAGATTTATGGTCCTCCCAGAAATTTAAACACGCATGAGTGGCCAGGCTGTACGTGGTCTGGGAACAAGACTTGTTGATTGTGACGGTTAGGAGTTAGCCTGTTCGATATGACAATATTTCACAATATTTCAATATGATGTTGATATCGGATATCTTTTCATTCGTAAAAACACATAAACGAATTAGGATATCGTGCAAATCGATATGCCAAAAATTATCGAGATAAACTCCAAATGATGTACTGTACATGCACATTGGGAAGTCAATGCACTGCCTGTTTAGCCCTGCATTACTGCATTTAGGCCACACAAATACTCCATTGAAAACCTCAAACCACAAAGTCACTGTTGGCCCTAAGTAGCTGCAAGGGTCTTAAAAGTATTCGGGGGGCAGAACCAAACCAACTGACTGTATGCACGTGTGACGTATTGTACAGTAAACTCCAGCTACACGTAAATTGGCTCTCTCACTCGCGACTCGAGATTGTCATACCGCGCCCCTGTGCTGCACATGTACACAGCCGTTTTCCAATACTCAACTTCGTCCCTGTCTCGGGCTCCGTCTCCAAAACAAATTCCCTATTGTGGGCCTGAAGCGTTTCAATTAAATTGAAGAACTGTAATGTTTGGCTCTTTTGCATCTTACTTGATGTTTTGTGCCACTATCAAACTTGCTATTGCGCTTACAACTTCAAAGTTAGGTAGTAAAAAACAGGTGAAGCCTGAAGGGAGATGAAGTTGAGTATTGGAAAACGGCCTACATGCGACCCCCAAGTGCATGCATGTAGAGAGGGGTCCCTGGTATTGATGTACTCAACCACATGCATACATCAGTCAAGCAGTGTGGAGCTTATTGCTTCTAGGCAACTGTGGCGAAGGAAACTGATACCGAAGCGTGATATTTTCCTTGCCGACTTACAAGAAGGATTTTTTGTGGTCTTGTAGAAAAGGGACCAAGTGAAACATTCCGACTTACCGTATGAGAAATAAATGACGACTTAGAAATGACGGTATCAATACCAGTAGCCCCTCTAGTAACATGCATGTGCTCTGTCCATTTTGGGGGTTACCTTATTGAGTGAACTTTACTGCTAATGTGTGCTGGGAAATGGCTTTTTCTGTACGGTGCCATGATATGATATATGATGTCCACAATTTCTATGTTGAAATTTGCTTTCCACCAGCATATAAGAGTTCTAAATGTAGAAATAATACGTGTTAGTATTGATGACAAGGCCAGCTCGGGAGTACACTACGAGACATGGTGGTTTGGATCATGTTTATTTTATGAATGGAAAATGATGTCAGCACGATAATATCAGATATTGTGATATTTTTTCATGATATTACGATATCAAAAGAACTGAATATCGAACAGGCTTAGTTGGGAGTGCTACCAACAACAGTTTCCTGGTCAATACGTCTTGTGCCCCGACTACATTTGGGCCTCTCCTGCGGTTCGTTAGAGGACCATGTTCGCCCATAGAGTTATTGCATATTCTAAATCTGGCTACACGCATTTGAAAGGTACAGGCGGCGAAAAGTTCAAGTGCTGTGCGTGTGTCAAGTGAAAACGGTCGGATTTTGACAGATTTTGAAGTCAGAAATATCATTGACGCCCCAACCGTTTGACGTTTGCATTTACGGAAGCCAGTAGGTGGTGATAGAGGTATGGAATTCCATATTTGCCGCTGCCCGTCGTCCGTCGCCTTTTGCTTTTTGTTGTGTCCCAATTCTGCCTTTTACCAGTTCCAAACATGCCATTTTCCGTAAAATTAAATTTTTTTTTTTTACATTTTATTTTTTATTACATTTTTTTACATTTTATGTAAAAGGTAGAGTTGGGGTTCCCATCCCCATTATTATTTTTGTTCAGAGTACGGGGACCAGTAAACAGTCTAACTCGAGGAGCACGTTTGGGCCGTGACTAAGGGCTGCGTTCGAGCGAGCTACTCGTGTTTGGAAGGAGATACAGAAATGTAATGCGTGCGCACCACACTCGGGTTGAACTGAAGGAACCGTGCTAATGCAGCCAAGCACTACTAGTCCATATTGCCTGGTACCCAGGTTATGTGTCATGCATGGGTTACCACTGACATTGGTTGACAGTATGACCTACATTTTTACGAACGAATTATGGGGCAGTTTCATGTCTGTGCAAGTAAAGTATACACACGTGTGTTCATACATGCGTGGCGCTGGGTGGCGTGGGCTGGTGATGAGCGATCAGCCCTGATGAATGCCTTGGGCGTAATTAACCTAATTCTAACACAAAAACAATAAGTCAGATGCCGTAATCACACATATTGTGTTGATATTTTAAGAGCTGTTATTGATATGTTGGTCGGACATTGTGCCCAAGCATCTTTGATTTTGTTCGGACAAACAAGGACAAGCTCGGAAAATGTCCGATGTCTGACTGTAATTTCACGCTTTGATATCACATTAGAAACACATGAAAAACAGCGTATATGTACCTGACATTTCCCATTTTATAACTCGGACGTGGCTTACGGCGTGATCTGCTCAAGCATATGGCCCCAAAGAATGAGCTGGCGAAGATACTTACCTTCTTCTGTTTCTGTGGTCTGAGAACCCTGTCTGCAAAAACACAGAACTGTGGAAAATCCTTTCCGTTTGAAGTTCACCAAGTTTCTGACTCTAAAAGCCATAGTGCCGTGCTTTCTAAACCGCAACAGACAGCAAGACAGCTGAAATGGGAACCTCGCTGAATGCTACAGAATGCATCAAAGTGCACTGGTGGAGTTTGTGGTCCTGTGTAAAGTGCTCCTGAGGAACACCTGCCTTAACCTTGACAAGTTGTAAAGGGTACTCTGAAACTTATGTTCACTACCATCCTTTCACCGCTGACGCATTCTGTTGCATGTAGAGGGCATGGGGCATATGAAACAGCTGAACCATCTTGATCTCTTGTTATGTATGGAGCAGGTTGGCGTCGACCACCACTGCTGTGACCCAGAGCTCTTACAGCACCCAGGCGCAGTCTCGCATTGGCCCCGCAGCCAAAGCGGACAATGAGTTCCGCACGGTGCTACGGCGTCTGGACGACATGGTGCGCAGGACGGGCCGAATCACCAAGAACCAACTGATGTTGGTCTTTGACGAAGTCTGCAAGATGGGTGAGGCCTGGCTAGAACACAGTGTTAACACTTGGGAGAGGTTTGGAGGGGTCGTTTTGTAGGCCCAAAGGGGACTTTTCTGTCGATGTCTTGTTTGAAAAAAGTCTCAAACTTTGGAGCCAAATGGTCAAAAATGAAAGTGGCGTATTTTGACGAGAAAGTGGAATGAGCATAAATGAGTGAAAAGAGTAGTTTGCTCCTTTTCTAAGAGCACTTTATCACTATCTGATAAAGTTCAGAAGTAACGATGACCCTATATAGCCCGCTTTGACGTCCCGTACATGTATAAGTGTGCTTGGCAAAAACAGTGAACAGTTCCTGGAAATTCTTCTAGAGAGATTGAAGTTGGTTTACTAGTATACCCCATATTTATGCACACTAGAGGAAAAAAATGAAATTAAAATTAATGGGCAGAAAATCTTTCTTGTGAAAAAGTTAACTTTTTTCTAGAATGTGTCAAAAATATATTAATTTTCAGTTTCTTTATTCTTCCAATTCATTCCAAAAGTCATTGCCAACAAGTGGTTTATTTCCAGCATTGTTCTAAACTTCATACACTTGTATTAGAAACAAAAGCAACAGAAAGATAAAAAGAATGGACACATCATGGTCTTGTCACAGACTCACAGACAGTAACTGAAATTTCACAGGAACAGCATCCCCTAACCAGGCCCTTCTTCTCCTCCGGAGCTGTGGGTCTCTGCTCCCAGAAGTGCCCCTGAGTGAAAGGACGGAGTTGGTGCACAAGATCTGGGACAGGCTAGCCAGCATGGGTAAGAGGGCTAAACCTGTGGTGTGCAGAGAGTGACGGTTTTTGTGTGGCTTGTTTTTCCGCATTTGTGGCCCTATGCAACAAAATGAGCCAGAGGTCGCAGAGCCATTTTTCGGCATGGAGGTTGTGGAAAGAATCTTGCACTTTGTAAATCAGCGAGAAAGCTGAGAAAGTTTTTCACCCGTATAATGTTCATTTTTATCAGCCTGCCAAACTGAGTGATACATCAAAACAAGGAACCCAGGGGCGGCTGTAAGACCCTTAACCCAACCCCCCTCGGGTGTATGTAAAATCATTGAAATCATCAGGGAGATAGACATCGTGAATCAAGGAGATAGACATTGACAACAGGCTGTTCAAATTTCCCTGTATTGTCGCTTTTTATTATGAAAGTCTGGATGATGGAGACAGTTCTTTGAAGCTTAGACATAAATTTAAGCAAACTTTGTCTTTGCCAGCTGTTACACTCCTCTTTAATATAATTTTTATTTTTTTTGTAATTTGGCCTTTGGCCACGAGAGTAAATTAAGGGGAAAATATGTATGTCTGAGTGCAGTGTCACTTGCTATCAACAGGTGTAACCTATGATGTCAGCCACTACAATGCACTTCTCAAGGTGTACCTGCAGAACGAGTACAACTTCTCACCCACAGAATTCCTTGCCAAAATGGAGTCCAAGTCAGTGGAACCAAACAGGGTAAGTTGGCTTCTCAATCACAGGCAATAATGTGATGTATAAGCTGGGATTTTTTTAACATAGCAAGACACACCCATTGACATTTGTGAATTCAAAAATATTGTTTCTCAAAGTGGGATGGATTTGCCCCATCTTACTCCCTGTAAAAAAATTCTCTTAAAAAACAAGAATAACTGTAAGTAAAGAAATCAAAGCATTCAAAGAGTTCAGTTCAGCAAGAGCCTGTCATTATGACTAAACACTTGTTAGAGTTAAATTTCTAAGGAGCTGCAAAAATGGCACTGAAAACAAATGAATTTTAAAGGACTCACCTGACTTCAAGCTAAATTATTTTCCTGGCAGGCCCATTGCGAGTTCGCCAGTGGGTGCTCAGGTAAGGTACAACAGGTTGCTTGCTAGTTGTATGGTCAACACACAAGGCAAACCACAGGTGTGTTTTCCTAGAAAGATAATAGTGTAAGAGTTTCTGCCTGTATTGGCAAGTCCAGCGAGGTATATTGCAGGTAGAACAATCATATTATCCATTATATTTTTCCAAAATAGGCTTTAGTAAATGATGCATTGTTATTTATGTGCAGTTTTGGTTGGGGTTAATTTTTCCTCCAACTTCTGTTTGCTGATGTTGGGCGTAGGTGACATACCAGAGATTGATCAGCGCTTACTGTCTCCTTGGCGATATTCCAGGAGCTACAAAGATCCTAGAGTTCATGAAGATAAAGGAACTGCCTGTCACCGAGGGTGTCTTCAACTCTCTCATCACGGGGCACGCGAGAGCAGGGTGAGGCTGATACAAAAAATTAAGATAATTTCCCCTCCCCCCAAAAGGGAAGAAGTTTGTGTGGGACCTTAGTATGGTACCTGCGCTCCTCATGTGAGTTTTGTACTTAGTTTGAAGAGCCTAAAATTGGTACTTTTAATGCCAGCTGGGGGGAAATCTATGCATGTATTGCTTGCTCCTGACATGTTGATTGTAGTGATAAGTATTGCATTCTCTTGCTTTTCTGTGGATGGATTATCTTTGAAAAGGCTGTTAAAAATGAGCATGTTGACAGTTTAAAACCCGTTTGATTTTGTGAAGAGGCAAAAAATGAAAAATGCTCCGTAGTGAATTTTAAATACAGTGTGGCTTTGGTTTCTTTTTTCTGTTTGCAGGGACATGGAAAATGCTCGTAATATTCTTGATGTCATGAGGTATGCATTGTGATTATTTCATTGCTAAAACAGAGTGGATGGTGCTGTATCCCCCAGTAATCCTGTCTTGCTGAACCCCCACTGAGATTTTTGAGTGCAAAATGACAGGCCAAATAGAGACAAAAGTGTTGTTGAGGACGGTGATTGCAAAATTCAAGTTAATTTGATAACTGAATTACTGACTGCAGCAAAGAAAATGTTATTCCACTTGATATTTGTGTTCTGTTGGAAGAAAAGACTATTCCAAACATGCAGTAAGACCAGGCCTTCAGACTATTTTGTTAGTGTGAGGATGGTTTTAAGGTTGTAATGTCCCCATACTTACAGCAGAAGAAGAGCTTGGAGTTTTCCACATTGACCTGAGTATTGTATCAAGGGGGTACATTCCTCAAGCACTGATACATCAAGTAGGTTTTGGGTGGGCAGGAAAGTGATTGTTGGAAAGTTGAGTTGAATCTTTTCAGTGATCCTTGCTTCCTTGGCCTTTTTGATTGCGTGCAACCTTTATCCTACAAAAGCCTCTCTTATTTCTTGAATGTTTTCCTTGGAGTGGCCATTGCTTCAATCCTTCAAAATCTTCTGGCAACATCTGTCAACATGTGGCATTGTGAATGAGATCGCGGACCAGTGTAGGCAGTTTGAGTATAATCTCAGCTTGTGCGTGCAGGGCCAAGCACGAACAACACAAGGTCCAGCCCAAGAACTGGACACAGTACATCCTCCAAATTGTCCTCAGTCCTTGAAAATTCTCCAGTGCCACGCAAGGAAGATTTTGGGGGATTTTTATAGGTCAGGAGCAGTGAAGCTTCTTAAGCCCAGCTTTCTTACAGGAATGGCTTCCCTTGCTCAAGAAGCTCCAACGTCTGGGATGAGCAAGCTGTTGCCATCGTTTGAGTTGTTTCATAGAATCTCATGAACTCTTTGAGATTCCTCTGTTTCCTTGGTCTTGTAGGAATGTTGGACTGGAGCCCAGTCAGGACACGTATTCCGCTCTGATGTGTGCTCTGGCTGAGAAGGGAGACATCGAAGGCATTGAAGAGGTGAGTTGGAAACTTGCAGCAGGATTAGGCAGTGAGTTATGGGTGAATTGTTTTGCGTGATAACAGGATTCGCTCACAATTTCTTGTGAAATATTGTTTCTACTTGAGAGAAGAGAGGGTTGGTTGACATTGTCATATTTTTAAGTTACTCTGGAAATTCCAAGGTTATATTGTATGTCTGTGAAGTGGAAATATTGGCAATGTTTGTGCAAGTTATTTTCTTGATTTTGCAAGAATTATTTATTCTTATATCATTGTCATGCCAGGCTGTTCCACAGTTTTCAAATGAATTAATTTGAATGAATTAAACACTGTGCGTAATAAACAGTGTGTCTGAATAATGATTCATCAGATCTTCAAACATGAATATTCAATAGGTGATTCAGGAGGCAGAGTCCCAAGTGGGTGAGATTGCAGACCGGTACTACCTGAGTGTTGCCTACAGCCTTGCCACATCAGGCCATGAACAGCACCTCCCCAAGGTGAATAAGACTTCCCCATCGCAGAAAGGGGTTATTAAGTCCTTAAAGGGCACCTCTAAGGAAAACATGTTTTCTCTGATTTTATCTGTTCAAATAAATATAGAAGCATCCAAATTGAACGCAGTGTCATTTGTCTTTATAAACGTTGGATGTTCACTTTCTGATATCCACACTGTTGATTTCCGAAATCGAAAAAGGTGAAAATGAGCTGTTTGTCCAAGCTTTGGTTGGCAAATGTCTTGAGATCCTGTTCTGGGTGTTACTGCTTGCATGCAACTTTATATCTACATGTGTGTGCCTGGTGCAAGATGCCAGCCGAGCCCAGCGATATCCACCTTAGTAGACTTTGTAAAATTTGGTAGGATTTGGCATTTGTTTTACCCATTTCCGGAGGTGGAGTTTGTTGTAATAAGTTGGATGTGTTTAAAGGAAACCTGCAGGGTGTTAGTCGCACAGAAATATTCTTAAAACTGAAAAATTACTACTTTTTGAAAAACCAAAGATTTTAATTTTGAAGATGAGTTTTATGTGTCTCAGTGATTATTTTTTGCTCTGTGTACAAGTTCCCTTTTTTCCAGAATAGAACCACTCGTTGGAAATGATTTTCATAACTTTGTTTGTTTCCTGCCAGATTTTGGAAAGAATACGACTTGGTGTTGGATTTATTCCAGGTGAGTAAATTGCAATCCATGCCTATTCCAACGATCTACTAACTGATCTTTTGTTGAAGGATTCCCCTTAACTTTCCCCAAAAGCCACGTTCAGCTGGCATGAAATCTACCCACTGAAGTTCCATTCAGAAAAATTGAACTCTGGGTAGCCTTGTCATTGAGGTTCGCTCCAAAATGTAACTTTCTTTCATATCCATTAGAATTTTTGTAGATGGTTGACCAGACCTTTCTGAAGCTGTGTACCTTTATTCTGACGTTCCTGTCCATTCACCTCTTCAGATACCATCAACCTATCACTCAGTCTCATCACCCAAGGGCAGATAGAAGCAGCCTTCTCCGTCCTCAAGCTATTCAGTCTCCGCCAAGTAGCGACCATTCCCAGCACCGAGCCTCCCAGTCAAGGCAGCTTCTTCATCGACACCCTGGTGCAACTCGGAACGGTGAGTATTGAAGTGTCGCGGAGAGTGTGAGATTTGTGTGTTCGGTCAAGAGATTCCTTTAAGCCACTTTGCCACCGAGGGTTGTATAAACCATCTTTCCATCGGTGTGGACACGGCTGATGGGTTTAACCACGATACACAACCCAACTTGTCTTGGGGGGGGGTTGACTCAGTAGCGTATATTGTTACGTTAGCATGCCATACAGTGTTCACATTTATGGAGTTTACAGTAAAACATTTCATACAAATAGTCTTGAAATGACTCTGACAAGTCAGTGCTTGTGGTGTGTGGCTGTACATCAAACGTTGGCCACTGTCACGCCTTTTTTGAAAATTGAAATTCCCGGCCAAAATAACACTGTTCCCAAGTGCTTAATGTAGTAATAATAATCAGAGCGTTTATAAGGCATACAATACTCAAAAGTGCTGATGTCTTAACCACTCTCTCCAATGAGTTTTGAGTGTTAAGTCCTCCTCTCCTGTACAGATATAATGCAAAATTTTGACAAAAGTGGGAGTTGGACCCAAACTCCAGAAATGGCCGTTCCCCTGTTTGACCAACCGTGCTTGCTGTGTTGTCATGGCAACCCATTACATCAGTGTCTTCGTTTTTAGGGCGTTCATTGCAGGTGGCACCTTAAAGAAGTGTTGCGATTGAGTTCTTTCACTGAGGCATGATTCAAGCTACAAAGCTCGAGTTACTTGCTGTTACTCCGACTCTGGCAAGCGTTGATTGTGCTATTTTTTTGTGGGATGTGAAAATGAACACATGCATACATGTACTTGTTTAAAACGAAGGGACTCAAGCCGTGAATTAAAATGGGACGCCGGTATCTGGATAACAAACCTGTCTTCTTGTCAGGATGCTGTACATGTCATTTTTGTCCTAATTCGAACAATTCTTGATTGAAAGACATATATTTGTCATGTGCAACATCTTTTGACAGTGATTGTGTTCATTTTTTTAATTTGCGTATTTCGATTTGCAAGAGTTAACATGTCCCCACTGCAGCATCAGCATCTTGACATCATCTTGACAGCAGAAGCCTGACATCAAATCCGAATTTGCCTCAATCGCAAAAGACCTGGTCTGTGAGCAACAGAGAAACCACACCCGTTGCCGTGCTTGCCGAAACCTGGCTTTCCTTTTGAAAAACCCAATCCTTTCTTTGGTCTTGCAGCCCCACGAGACGCTGTTCCATTATCTAGACACCATGATAAGCGAAGGTCTACATGCCACACCGTACATCGTAGCATTGCACGTTGCTCTCAGGAACCAGGGAAGCGTTGTCACTCACGGTGAGCCCCAGAACTGCCTCACAGTCTTGGACATAGGTGGTTGAATGCCGACATGCTAAATACGTGCCTTGTTCACAACGCTCCTTCAAAGCAGAAGATTCTGCCTTACACATTTTCTCACCAAGCAAAACTTAGGCTGCATCCGAATCTGTTGTCTAGGGCTACGTCTAATTCTTTGCTCCATTGAAAATGTGCGGAAACGCGTAGACAATAGACCTAGCCGTAGCTATGGAAGTATTTATAACATGCACAGTATCTCACAGTAGCTGTCGTTCAAAGGTGCCGATATATTATCATTTTCGCTGCACATTGGGCTCACAACATCTAAACATTCTTTAGCCATCTCAGTTCCCTGGAGAGTATACTAGCCTGATGCTGTCATTTCTCTGCAAAAACGCAACGACCACATCTACCCTTACACGTGGGTACCTTTCACCCATTTACTCCCGGGTAGAGAAAGGCACGTAGGGTTGGAGTGACTTACCTAAGGTCATAACATGTAACCACCTTCTAGGATTCGAACCCAACCCTCTGATCAGACGTTACAAATCCTGACCACTAAGCCACTTGTCTCCTTTATTGGGCATCATTAAATTCCTGCAAAAAAATGGGGGGGGGCACAGGTGAGTACTTCGTTATTTTCAGAAAGTTACTGGAAATTAATGGAAATCTGAGTTTTGGGCCAATCAGAGTCCATGCTTAATTTTCTCTGTGATTGTCTTTTGTAGAGTACATCCTTGGAATAACAAAGCGAATGATTGAACTGGTATGTAGTCAGCATAAAATCCTTCTATTTGCTTTAAAACATCCACATGGGCCGCATCAAAGGAAGTAGCCCAAAAAAGGGCTTCTTTTGTCAATTCATCATCTTGAACACTGTCGGTATGGTTTTTGTTTATCAGTAAATCCTGGGTGACAACAGCACTGTTATTACAGCATCCAACTTATAACGTGAACAGACATAGACAGTTAGGCCTGTAGTCTTTATGTTCTTTGTTTTGATTTCTGATAATCCTGGTTCCTTGTTTAATCTAACGAGGGAATCCCTATTGATTGTGTTGTCTCATATCTAAAAGTCTTGTGCAACTGGGCAGCTGCCTTAGTATTACTGGTAGCTCCATGAAAATGATAACGACTGAAGACTTTGAGGTATTGCGAGATGTATGGCTTGCTCTTGACCTCTTGGTACACATGCGAAACCCTAAACCCTCATCTGTTTTGCCTCTTGATTGGGCAGGACATACCTGTGCGACCTCACTACTTCTGGCCTATGATGACAACGGAGGCGAACCGGGGGAACAGTGAAGGTGGGGCCATTGCTTATTTCAGACTACATCAGCAATTATGTAGTTCATTTGAATTCCTTCTCAGGAGTCCCAGTCTCCATCTTCAATTGACTGTGAATCACAAAATATATCTGTTCCAGTACATTTATTTCTTGGGCTCAGTTACTCAGTTTTTATCACTTGAAGACTCACAACTACATGTACCTCTGAGCTTGTACTGGTAGAGCGATTTGAGTGTCCCTGTCAACCTCTCAGTATGAGTCCTGCCTACCATTGAAACACTCGTGTTGTTTAACAGTTAGTTTCAACCTACGCATAGCCAAGCATCACTCGCTAGCTCGGCTAAAATCTCCTTCGCTTGTCGGAGTTTGTGATGGGAACCAGTGAACACCACATCAGAAATGAAACTGACGATTGTTTGTTACCAGGTGTGCTGCAACTTGCAAAAGCCATGGCCGACATGGGTATACAGTTGAATATGGAGACCTACTCTAAGTACCTGATTCCTGCCGTTGGTGACAAGGCTGAGGTGGTGTTAGCCAGACTCAAGGTAGGTGCGAGTGTTTACAAGGGCTGTTATTCTCTTTTCTGCCCCCCAGGGGAGGGGGGAATGTTGTGGAAAGGCCATTCCTGCTGCTGAATTAAATAATGTCTCACTTTTCTTGTGGTTTGTGCAAGTTGTCAACAATTGTTTAGAGTTTTTCACAATTTTCCAATATTTGTTACATTTTTTTACAAATAATTTGCTTTTTGAATCTTTTAAATCTGCTGGAAACAAGCCTCTATAGTGCAATTTTTCTCATTAAAAACAAAGGAAAATTCTCTTCCTGTTAATGAATTTTGCCTTCGAATATTGACATTAAGAAATAAATTTCGAATATGCGATACTTGATCGAGTATTTGGATATTTGAATATTCGGCACAGCCCGTTGAGACCATCTCACGACTGTTTGCAAGACCAGACACAAGGCCAGTCACATGTAACAGGGTGATCAAGACAAAGGAATACTTCTGTTGCAGTTCATTTGACTTGAATTCAGACTAGCTTTCTTGTGTGGGTCTTGTGGTGATCTACAGAGGTCTCCACTCCAGCGCTGGTAGCCAGCAAATATTAGATGTAATGTAATTGTACATGTGTGCATTTGCTGTTGATTACCCTCTGAAGGATCTTGGCATGTCAGTGGACAAGCAAGTTATTGCTGCTCTGTGCAGGCATGAAGTCTCCAAAAACAGACTAGACATCGTAGTTCAGTTCTGTGAGTAGATTATCTTCATCAGAAATTAGGAAGTCGGTGTTAGAATATCGGTAAAAACCAAAATTCTCTTGACAAAAATGGACAAGATAATGTGTACAAACTATTAACCATATCCTGCCGGGGAGCCAGTTTTCGGGTACCTTGGGTTTGTACGTATAACCGGGTGCTCGAAATCGGACAAAAGAGCTTGGGCCTTATAACGAAAGACCGTACTCGGAACAAAAGACAGAGCTGCTGGGAATTGCCAACATATTTTCAGTCGTCAATAGCGGAGGAAATCCATCATTGTTTTGAAAGATTGTACCACTATTTGTGGCATTCAGTGCGAGTGAATTACCACCGGGGACAATAGCATCCCAGCATTCCAGAGATTAGCGATACAATACCACTACACGCTAATCTTGCCCGTGTTGAAAAGATGCCAGAAGCGCACTGTGCCAGTTTCGGGAACAAAAGAAATTTATGCAACACCACACAATCTGGGCTCTTTTTACAAAGCGGCAGGCCTGGCTGAAATATTCTGGCATCAATAGATGTTGTCTGTCAGATTATAGTAGCCACCAGACAGTCGCTCCATGGGGTATAGGCATTCAGGAAAAAAGAAAAGAGTTTTTGCAGATGTTTGAAAACTGCCGATATTGAAAAATTGCTCGTATGTAGGCACTGCATTTTTAAAAGCACCCAGCGGGAAATGGTTATGGTAATTTTGCTTTACCAAATGCACTAGAAGCTGTAGTGTGGTGTGAATATGTATGCCTCTAGAGATTGTCAAATGGAGAGACCAGTGTCTGTCAAAAATCTGAAGTGAAACTTTGGCCTTAAAATTGGATAGTAAATGCTCAAATACTGAGGGTGCTGTGCGTAGACATTGAGGGATTGAAAACAATTCAGAATGTAGTAAAGTTACTGATTTGGAAACTTAGAGGTAATCCATTTTTCTAGCAGGTGAGATGGCATAAGCTTCTTAAGTGGTTAGGCTTATAACTGGTCACATCGGTGAAAGAAAATTTATATAATGCCTGGAAACCTTGCCTGGAAAGGCTTTTGTCAATTTCAGCTATTGTTTAATTGGCGTTTTAAAATCTTTTAACCAGTGGACAGCTATCCCGACTTGGTGGAGGTATCACTCTTCAGGACTGCTCTCATAAACTCCTTTCACAGGTAACGTCGCTTTCCCATCCAACTCAATCTGAGCCTGGCCATCCATATCACTCTGTTTGGAGTCCTTTCCCATGTCCAGCGTTCATAGTCTTTTAATACTTTCAAGTGAAATGTCACCAAAATGTCACCATCTTCAAAAAGTGCCTTTAGATTCTCTCCTGCCGTCAGATTGTAGACAAGCCCAGTTTGGTTTTGTACCGTAAACCCTGTTGCAAGTTCCAATCCCTCTGTAATCAGTTTCTCTGTTCAACCTGACATTGCTTTCAAGCAGTGCAAGAGTCTTGTCAGTTACAAGCCTGTTCAAAACTGCTCAACACTATTAAAACAGATGAACAACAACAGGGGAATGCCTTGGTTACCTTTGATGAGTTGACTTAGGACTAAGTGATTGACTTTTGTTGTGACTTGTGACTTTCTCAATTTCAACTCTGATTTCGAGTCATTTTCCAGTCTCAATTTGTTGAATTAAGGACCTGCAGATCATCACAAAGGTCACCCATCGTAGAGTGACCTTTACAGAGACCAACTAAGTCTTGCAAAGCATTCAGTCTGCTCTCAGTCTTCTCGAGGTTAGGTCGCTGCCAATAATTGTGTATTAATAAGTTTGTGAGAGATGTGATGGTATGTTGCCAACACTTTAAACCCTCCAGGATTTTCCGAGTGGTTCTTCTCAAGTCTCACCGTGTTTGTTGTTTCTTCTGTCACAGATTCCCTCAGGTGGAGCCACTCGTGACCCTGCTGACCAATATGTGGACGCAGTTCAAGGAAGACCAGAACTTGGAGGTCAACAAACAAGGTGATGCTTTGTCCTCGGTGGTCATTGTTTCAAATTGTCAAATGCAAAAGATTGGGAGTCTAAGTTATGTCGTCTTCCGCGACGCTTGATATAACATTTTGAGAGCCCCTTTTTGACCCTGGTTTTTTTGTAGACTACATTGGCGGAGTCTTGTACGACATGGTGAGAGCCATCCCTGACAGCAAGGCTGTCAGCCTCAAACCTCACCTGCAGCTACTCTTCGACAAGCTTGCCGACCAGGTGAGTTTGTGTGGCTAGCTGTACACACGCAAAGATCCCAACACTGTTGTCCTCAAGCAATAAGTATTGCATAAGTATTGTTATTCAAATTCTCACTTGAACCGTTTCTATGGATTCATATCAGCCCAAACTGCCAAGACTACACAGAATTGTTAAGGTCATCAGCAGATCTTTGTTTGTTAACCTTGTGTCCATTTTAGGGGATCCACATAGCCATGCAGCGTTTCCGAGGTATCCGCAATGTCCTGGACGAGATCAAGCTGATGATGGTCAAGCCCAATGCCTACCGATTGCTTGACCCTGCAGAGGTCAACGCCAACCCCATGGGCAACATCGACCTCCTGGCCAACAGTGTGAGCTCGACTGAACTCACCACAGAAATCAGTTCAAGTTTTGGTTGGGTGTTTGGGAGATCTTATGGAGAAGTTAACCGAAGTACAATTAAAACTCACAACCTTCAGAACACCATTTTGGCACTCCATCAGCTGGGCTCTTTATCCCAGTGTGAATTTTGGGAAGAAAATTTCCTCACCAGAAGCTCATGATACCCAAATTTCTCGTATTGGGGATTATCAATGAAACAAGCACTTTTACATGTACAAAGCATCATGGTTGTCATTGAGTAGTTTTCCATGAGTACAAGCACTTTGCTGTGATTGTGAGTATGAGTTTTTATTGTGAGTACAATTATGAGTACCTTTCCATGAGTATGGATATGAGCACCAGTATGGACAAGAGTAGCGAGTTCAATCCCTTTGCTGTGATTGTGAGTGTGAGTTTTTATTGTGAGTACAAATATGAGTACCTTTCCATGAGTATGGATATGAGCACCAGTATGGACAAACGAGATACGAGTTCAAGTACTTCAACATGGCAAAGCATAGCTATTAATTGCAGCAATAGCAGTTAACAACACTTTGTGACTTTTGTATTACAAAATCCTGGAAAGTGCACCTATTTATGGCTCTGTAGCGTAGAACCCTGAAGAAAAGGCAATGGAGAATTCCCAGTATAACTTTAGAAGTTTGGAAGAAAACCTGTAGAATCGGCTAGGGACCGTAAACAAGCCCATCAAGACTTGGGCCTGCGTGAGATTTGAACCCAGATCACAGAGATGGAAGACAAGGAATACACCACTGCACCAACTGGACTCCCAGTGCCCGAGGAGTTGACCATTTCATCCTCCACTCTGTCAAATTTTTCCTTCTTGACATCATCTGCTCTCCTTCTAACTCTCCTCTGCCTTCAGGACATCTCCGTGGACCAGCTGGAGGCACACCTGACGGAGCTGAAGGAGAAAGGCGCCAACTGCCGAGGGATCTTGAGACGCCTCATCTTATACCACACCGCGAATAACGTAAGATGCAAGTATTGGTGGCGATTTCAGTAGTTCACTGATGCCATGTTTCTGGATGATTTTTTTTTTTTCATTCAGAATGTTTGGACCATATGTGCTTGGAATTATCCCACCAGGTCCTCATAATGATGAAAAATGTGTATATTGGTGCATGTTTTACTTGTTTACAAGCAAAAGGATGTTTCCCTGTCCTCGGTGGTGAGTCTTTTATCCTCGACCGTAAAGTCTTGTGCTTTGTCTATGGGAGATTCTTATATTGCAGGAATAATAGGCAAGACAATGCCCTCTGCTCGGAGGTGTAGCAAAACACGACTGATTCCCTGCTGTAGGCGTACATGCATTACATTCCAGTGTGCCATTTCAGTATTTTGAAAAGATGAGAGCAGAGTGTGCACGTGTGAGTCTGCATTTGGTCGCGCTCGTAAGGCAGAACTTGTGCACTCCATTTTGGGCATGCGCTGGTGGAATGTCGAACTGGTTCACTGAGAACAAGGGCACAGTTGGACAACAAGAGATTTATTCCTGGCTTTGAAAATTGAATCTTTTCTTGAAAACAGTCTTCTAATAAGTATGTGTGAAGACTAGGCCAAATTGTTTCACCATGCCAAGGGAAAGAAAGCCTTGGCCTTTGAAGTATAGTAAATTTGACCATGTGCTATCAGGAGTCTTAGAAAAACTTCATCTTTTGTCTCTGAACTTTTACCCCTCCCCTTCATTTATTTCTCTCTGTGATTATTCTTGGCATCACAGAATTACCAGCGATCCGTTGAGTTGATTGAAGAGTTCAAAGCCAGGGGCTACGAGTTGACGGGAGCAATCTATGCTTCCTTGATGAGCGTCTGCTCCAATCACCAACGTTATGACGAAGCTTTTCAATTCAAAAAGGAATTGTGAGTCAAATTGGGTGATGCTTAGGGTTGTGCCAAGTATCCGAATATTCAATCAATTATCAAATATTCGAATATTGTTTTCTGAATTTGAATATTCGAATGCAAAATTCATGAAAAGGAAGGGAGAATTTTCTTTTGTTTTAAGTGAGAAAAGTTGCACTTTGGAGGCTTGTTTCAAGCAGATTCAAATGAAAAGCGACAGAAATCTTACAGCAATTCAAAAAGTAAATTATTCATTAAAAAATGTAAAAAGAACAGAAACTTTCTGCTAACTCATGGCTCTAGATACCGGTGCTCCTAGACATGAGAAGCTGTTATAGCGATTGTAATGTACATGTACAATTGTGTGTGCTACTGCAACTGTTTTTGTATATGGTTTGTTTGTCAACAATCTGCCGGTCGGTACGACCGAATATTCAGATATTCGAATGAATTGAAGGTTGAAATTTGTGTATTGAATTATTCGCATAGACTTACCCAGTGATGTTTGAATTTTGTTGTTGTTGATGTAAACCCATAGTAACTAGCAGGGGTCGGTTTATAGTTAATTTCGCTTCTCTTCTTCCCCACATCAAACAGAGGGAATTTCTGACCTAACCAAACCAAACGAGGTACAAGCTGTCTGAGTTTCACTGAGTGTAATGCGCACCGACCTGTATTACCCCATCATTGGCAGAGAATATTGCGCATCTTCAGTTAGGTGTCTGGTATGTATGCCAGACTGTACATGCACCAAATACTTAGTGTGGCCCCGCACATTCCTGGCGATTTCCCACCAAAGGACAGGCATGGCTGTGTAAAAATATGCCATCTCCTTGTCTCACACAGAGCAGGTACAGGCCTTTAACCCCAGCTCTTCCCCCAAAACCTCCCAAATTTGGAGGTTTTGATGACAAAGTAGCCTTTTTGGGGAATGAGGAGATTATGTAAGAATAAGAAATACATGTATATGGATTCTTTGCAGAGAGCAAGCTGACCCGCTCTTCAGGCTGGATATGTCCAAGTACAGACCACTCATCTGTCATCTAGCCAAGAGCAATAAAATGGAAGGTAGCTTGGCATTTTCTTTTTTGAGTCAAATGGCCATTCGTGACTTCGTTTTGTGAGCACTGTTCAAGAGACGTGGACAGAAACTTAGAATGAACCAAATTGAACAAGTGGTTTTTGGAAAGAGGTTTAAGAGACAGGGTTTGATGGTTTGCACAGTGGGAAAAGTAGCAAGTGGGTCATTCGTTAAATTTGGGGTCTTGTCCTTGTTACATCTGGCGTGTGATTTTATAAGTTGAGAATGCATTCTTTTATTTCCAAGAGTGATTAGAATAGTGCACATTCCCTGCCAAACAAAAACAAAAGTCAAGTTCAGTGATATATCCCATATCAAATTACACAGGTCAGGTGTAACAGGGACAGCAAAAAATGTGACACAGTGGATCCCAAATTTATAGAATGACCCAGATGGAGGGTTTACTGGAACATTACAGAAATGATGAACCTCTCTGAGAAGAGCCTGTGAAATGCTATGGAGTGTAGATTGTTCTCAGAACCCTGCCAATCTTAAAATAAGATTTGTCAGTGTGTTTATCTGAATGACAGGCAAAGCTGTGGTGAAGTCTGTTATGAATTGATCGTAAGTTACAGGAGGTGATCATGGCAAACAGGAATGCCTCGGCCACATTTCATCTGAGTAGTGTGACGGACTCGGCGGGCAATAACTGGGTTCAAATGGCTGGCTTAAGCTGTCAGATTATGGAGGACTCTATATCGTAGCCGATCTTGGATAAGACAGCAAATTGAACCAATTGCAATAATCAGGTCTTTATGTTAATGATTCACTGATTGGCCAATATCTGTTGCACTAAATTATTTACCATATTTCAGCAACAAATTCTGAAACATGTACATGCCAAAGAATTTTAGACATAGACAATATTGAGCCAACTTCAAGCAGGCTGATCGTTTTAAGACCCGTTTAACACTTAAAGACCACTTCTCTGCAATGGTTCAACTTATAGACCAACTAAAAAGAAGCCCTGAGACTTAACCATGCGCAGACAGCTTTAAGACCAGTTGTTGCAATCCACACTAGATGCTCTGGCCCTTGTTGAAGAGATGAAAAAACGGGATATTGGAACGGACCGGCAGGAAAAGCAGTTGTTCCACCTGCTGAACGAGCTGGCCCAGGAGGGCCTGACTGGACAGACGCAGCAGATCTTCGACAAGCTGGTCTCCCTGGGTCTCATCCGGGTCAACAGTAACATCCTGGGACCCGTCGTCATGGCCCACATTGTCAGGTTAGTCCACAGTTTGCTGGGTTTACAGGACGGCACTTTAACTCTAACCCCCAAGGTGCATCTACACAGTAAATGGGGAATCTTATTGCCTGGAACGTGTTTCTGGTTAAGCTGTTCTTTTCGTCAGCTGAGGCTCCCTCTTCCGAATGTGTCAAGGTTTGAGCCTTGTTTCTAAGTCTAGCTCTCTGCCCTTTGCAAACACACAGGCACGTGCTTATGACGGAGTTAGTCGTAAGTTAGCCAGTGTTGTAGTCGAGACCATCACAAGACCAGACTCAAGATCAGACATGAAACCATGCACAAAACCAGTCGTAAGAAACAAAGTGAAGATTGACAAAGGAATGATTTTGTCACAGTTCATTTTTCACAGCCTGTTCCTTGAATCCAGGCCAGAGAATCTTGTTTGTCTCGTGATTGTCTCGTTGGGTCTTGTGATGGTCTGAAAGGTCTTGAATACAGCACTGGCTGTCAGACTAGATGCGCATTTCAGACACGGCCCATTACTCTGTTCAGTTTGGGTGGTACCCTGCTTGTTTAATTTTATTATTTAGTGCATGCATAGCATACAAAAGTTGTCACAGCTTTTATGTCCAGATTTAATGCACATTTATACTGATATCTGCTTCAGTAATGAACGAGAGATTTGCCTTGGGCAGAATGTTTATGGTAACACCACGAGTGTGAGATCTGAAGTTGAGTTCCAAAAGCGTTGCTGTGCTGAGACGTGAAATGAAAATGATTCTGTTTGCCGTTTGCCTTCTCCTGTCCCGTAAAGGAAAGACATAGCAGGAGCTCTGCAGTGCATCCAGGATTGCCAGACAAAATACGGGCTGATGCCACACTTCCACGAAATCTTGGTCAAGTTGGTGGAGGACGGCGACACGGAACAACTTCAGAAAGGTAAGAGTTTAGGATATTCGCATGCCCCCCTAACCCATGAAAATACAAGACTCCACTGCCATATTATATTTCATTTATTTTCATCTTTTACCTGTGCCTAGGTATGTGGTCTTTTCTCTTGCTTTCACAGTAATAATTTTTGCGTAGAAGTAGTTAGTAAAATTACGAATGGCTATCACTACAAATGAGAAGAACAAGGGAGCATCTAAAAAATTAGGCACGTTCCCGTTCCGTTTGACCATTCCCACTGGAACGCTGGTGTGCCATCAGAACCTTCCAGGCAGTGTTCCATTGGGAATGCACATTCCCAATGGAATGGTCCTGCAGTTACATTCGCAATCAAGAAGAAAGATTTCTGGCATTCATTTCCTTGACCCTGTTTTGAAGCACGGCAGCTGGAGCGTAGCATTTTGTGATTTACTCCTCATGAAGGTTACTTTTTCTCCTGTTTTTCTTTTCCATATTCACCATGACGTAGCTTACCATGCAATGACTTTAGAGTATATCAGGACACCGTTAATTTTCATGTGTTCATGTTAACGTCTGTACTTGCGAGTGTTTTATTCGTTGTCGCGTTTGCGTGATAGAGGGATTCATCATCGCAATGTTTCCACGCATAAGTATTCCATCATATCAGAAACAATTTTAAAACCTAACCTATAATTGAAGGGGTGCGGATGAGGTCTTCAAATATCATGGCAAAGGTTGGACGACATGACTAAGGCAATTAAGCTTGACGTTGGGATTGCAGCCTATAACCCAGTGATACACACGCCGACATAGACATGTACTCTGCATGTAGTGATTTTCACTTTTGTATTGCAGTTAAAACCAAAATTTCCATCATTGCATTTCCAATTTTTACCACATCACATTTCCATCTTCAGTTTACTTCCAATCTTTATTCAAAATTAGGCCTATCATAAAAGCAAAGTAGTTTACTCTGCTCGTTTGTCATGGCAAGCTCCGCTTTTGGACATTGGCTGAGCAAAGATTTGTACTTGGGCAATATGAAGCTACCCAAATGGAGACGTTCCGATTGGAACTCGTGTTCCCGTTGGACCGTTCTCACAAGGGAACACAGCATTCTGTGTGGAAAGTCGTGTTCCCAACGGAACGGCCGACCGTTCCGGAATGAGAACACAGCGTTCCAATGGGAACGTTCCAACCGCTCCGAATTTTGAGACGCTCCTTAACTTGCAGAGAGTGGAACGTTTCGGTGGAGTTCGGGCGGCCTGTTCTTGACACGGGTTTCTTGCTCTCGTGCTCGAACGGCGGGAACACGACTCAACAACACTGTTCTCGGAATAGGATCCCACACCACCGCCTCGTCAGGGTTTTACAGGAACACACGGAAAAACTCATGAGATTTTGATTTTTGAACAGCTGCAAAAAGTAGAGATGGCTTCCAAAGCCATAGACAATGGGAAGTTTTGCAAAATTAAAATTAATTTTTTTCTGTAACACAGAAATGAATGTTCCTGTTTATATAAAAAGAATTCAGCCCATCCAAACATTAACTCTTGAACAACGTAGCCTACATGCTGAATGTTGCTTGTCACTAACTACCAGCGATAACCGGTTGTTTGTTCCCAGCGTACGAGCGGCCGACCCATGAACAGCAAATCAAGCGGTTCGTGAACATACGAGAACAAGCTGCCCGAACTCAGCCATTATGTGGCCTTTCAAAATAAATCAAAATGTACTACTGCTAAAAATTTAAAAATTCAGATATTTCCCTCTTTCGCACAAATGAAGCAAATGTACAAATTGAAGCAAAGCGGTTGCCGACGCAGGGTGAATTTTTGTGCACGTTTTGGCCTTGCATAACAGAATGGTGGGCATTGTTGGCAGCAAGGAAAGGTCTCGTAGTGCCATAGTTTCGCTTTCAAGTGTTTCTGTTGCCCCCTAAGTAAGTCTCCTCATTCGGTTTCAGCCATGGATTTCACCAGCCATCACCACGGTGACATCAACATGCTGTACGACCTCATCTTTGCGTTCCTGTCCACGGGAAAGTTCAAAGAAGCAAAGAAGATCTTTGAGGTAATGGAAAGATCTGGAACATGACTCTAACAAAAGTCCAATATTGGTTTTGGCCATTTCATTTTTTCTGATTTTATTGACATTATTTGGCTTTTAGTATTATGGAGCGCCACTTTAATAGGCTGGTTCCTCACCCGGTATTTTCCTTTGTCAACCCCTAAAGTTCTACTGATTACAGCACGACCCCTTTTGGGAATGAAATGTACAGCATTCTGTTGGTAACAAATATTTTCCAAAAACGCTTCATATTTGCTTCAAATCTTGCTTCAGTTTCACTCAACTGACCACTTTTCATAGTTGGTTTACAGTTGACAGTATCTTCGTGCATTGGCATAGGATCAGCAGTTAGCAAGGGGTCATGTGGTAAAAATTGCATTACTTGTAATTTTGTTAAGCTTTGAGAAAATAGATACTTGGTTCTGTAGTTCGGGGGATCATGCATCTTTAGAATTCTATTGTACGATGGGTGCATGACTCATTCCTGGCCAAATAGAAAGAACCGTTACCTGGGGAAAAAGCCTGAATAAAACTTCAAATATTGACCTTCTCCTTGTCTCTCCCTCCCTAGACCCCCGGCATGGTGGCCAGAGATCGGCGGCTGCAGTGGTACGCTGAGCAGTGCATCAGCAAGAACCAGACCGAAGCCTTGGAGAACCTGGTTGCCATGACCAGGGATTTGTACGGATGTGATCGCGATAACATCCACTTTCAGTTACTGCAGCTCTACAGTACGCAGCTGAAATTGCTTTCCTGTCTTCTATGCATTTTCTTCTTTTTTTTTTCCAAGTTTTGTTCGTCTTAAAACTTGATAGTCATTTCATTTATTACCTTGTTCGATGTTGAAATACTTGCCTCAAATGATGAATTTTCAGAAGCTGTCTGGGAAGTTACAGCAGCGTTGCTGTTTTTGTAGAATGAGCCACTTTGATGTTTTAAATCATTTGTTCAAATGCTGGAGGCCATTCCAGAACACCAGTGCACACTAGGTTGGCTCCATCAGGGCAGTCCTAAGCTGACTCATTGACATTTAACATACTCAAACTAGTATCAGGACAAGTGTTTGTTCTTGAATGACCTTGCTTTTTTGGAAATGCCCAAGTCTCCTTCCAAAAAGTGTAGACTTCTGTTATGAGAAGAGCGGTACTCTCAGTATCAAGAGAGGAACTTCGTTTGGAGAGGTCGTTCCAAGCCAGTGCAGATTTTGAGTCTCTTTTTCATGATGTGGCAATTGCGTTTTTTTGTCTATGATTTTGGCTTTTTTTACTTGACTTTCTCTTCCGTCATCTCAGCGCGGCAGAAAGACCCTGACAAATGTCTTCAAGTGTGGACCACCATGCAAGACGAGGGAGTGGTACCAAAGGACCGGACACTGCGATATTTGGCCAACGTCCTGCGATCCTACAAACGGCCTGTTCCCTTTGAAGTGCCACAGATCACGTTAGATGAGGTAGGCATTGAAAAACTGGGGTTTGGGTTCTGAAATAGCCTACTCAATTCTTAGATGCCATCTTATAGAATTTTGGACTGAATTTAAAGATGCTAGAAAGTTGCCTGTGATTTGCACAGAAAGCTCTAAAATATCTTATTTAGTATTTGATTGCATGAGAGTTTCAATCTCATCAGCAAATGCCATTTGAGAGAAATCTAGAGGAAAATTGCTATCTGCCACGTTGGGCAGCCCTTATGTGATTTCGTTGATGTTAACAATGTCATACTGTTCATATGTATGCCTTCCAGTTGCCTGAAAGCAGTTCAGTTGATGAGGATCCTGTGTCGAATCTCCAGAATAGAATTATCGCCATAGCCAAATCTGGGGTGAGTAGATCACCACATGTAGTACAATAGGGGAAAAAAAGATGAAATCTTTGCATAATACGAAATACATTTGACTCAAAAATGACAGAATCAGTTTTTCAGGAAACCTTATTCATGAGGTCTTTATCAATTAATCTTCAGTTTTGAAGGTTGATGGCAGTGGAGTGCTTTTCAGGAAGCCACGTGGATTCATTACCAGAAATGCTAAAATTAAGTGCCATATCTGAGATGTGGCATCTCAGTGGCATGTATGAAGTTCAGGGCGTATCCACTCTGAGCCAATTCTTGTCAATCAGCAGACTGAAGGGTTGCAGCCATGTCCATGCTGCAAGTTGCCAGGCCCGTATTTCTTGGTAACCGTGGAAACTTCTCTCCTGCTGCAAGGAATGAATCCGCTGATAGTAATGCCAGCATAGTGTTTAACTTCTTGCTGCCGGGCGACCCGTTTTCGAGCACATAGGCTTTATACACGAAGCCGGGGAGCCCGAAACCGGGACAAAAGAGCTGGGCCTTGTAACAAAAGACCGTGCTCGGCACAAAAGACTGAGCTGGGCATTACCGACTTTTTTTACTCTCAGTAGTGGAGATAATCCAGCCTTGTTTTGAAACCGTATACCATCGTTTGGGGCATTTAGAGCAAGCGGATTACCACCGGGGACAAAAGCTCTCCACCACCGCAGCGATGAGCACCACTGCATGCTAATCTGGCCCCTATTGAAAAGAGGTCAGCAGTGCACTAAGCCAGGTTCGTGAACAAAAGAAAGTTATAACACCGCACAAATGGGCTCTGTTTACAAGGCTGCTGGCCTGGCTGAAATACTTGGTCGTCAATGAAGGTCACCTGTCAACTTAGAGTAGTGCCTAAAGATTACTTGGTGCAGCTCTAAACGACCGTT